GCGTGCACCCGGTCACGAGTGTGTGGGAGCTGCCCGGTCCTGCCGGCGCTCCTCCCTCCTGATCCATGAGCTGGCCCCAGACCCCGGGCCAGCGCTGGCCCTGGCTCCCCGAGCCTCGACACTCAGCTGTCTGATTCTTTCCAAGAATGATGTCAACGGAGAGCGCCAACAGCTTCACGCTGATCGGAGAGGCGTCGGATGGCGGCACGATGGAAAACCTCAGCCGGAGACTGAAGGCAAGTTTTACCTAAGCTGGTAAACTCGGGCATCAGTTTTTCTAGAGGCTCTGCAAGAATAAACTGCAAAGCTTCCCGCAGCACTGGTCTTGCAGTACTTCTGTGGGTGAGTAGCCAAGTCAAGCTGGCTTAGTTTAAATCACGGTTTGACTTCCAAAAAATGCTTTGCCAACTGACGAAGCACGAGCCCGGCTGTTGAAAACCAGCCTGCAGCTGCCTGTGGCTTCTGGGCTAACGGCGAGCTCTTGCGCAGGTCACCGGCGACCTCTTCGACATCATGTCTGGGCAGACAGACGTGGATCACCCTCTGTGTGAGGAGTGCACGGACACGCTGCTCGACCAGCTGGACACGCAGCTCAACATCACCGAGAACGAGTGCCAGAACTACAAGTGAGTGGGTCGGGTGACCCCAGACCCAGCTGCTTTAGCCTGAAGCCTGGAGAAAGGACGCAGCCGTGATCTGGGTTTCCCTGATCAGTATCGGATGTCCCCAACTTCAGCCCTTGGTTTTCTTTGTCTGAATGAGATGAAAAATCTGTTTTTGAGAGTGCTGTGGTACACAGCTGCTCCAGCTGTGAGCCCCTCACGGCCACAGTGCCCGTGAGGTTGCGGGCGTCACAGGGACGGTGACTGTCCTGCTCCCCTGCTCTCCCCTGAGTGTCCCTGACTCACAGCGCAGGATCAACGCAGGGAGCTCGGGACTAACGAGATCAGAGTCCTGTCTGTACTTGCTCATGTGTGCAGCCTGTCGTGGAACCGGGAGCTGCTGGCGGGGGTTCCTGGGATCCCCATTTGGTGACTGTGTCGCTCTGCCTTAGGAGATGTCTGGAGATACTGGAGCAAATGAACGAGGACGATAAGGAGAAACTGCAAATGGAACTGAAAGAACTCGCGCTGGAGGAAGAACAACTGATTCAGGAGCTGGAGGACGTTGAGAAGAACCGCAAGATTGTGGCTGAAGATTTTGAGAGAGTCAGGGCAGAGGCCGAGCGGCTGGAGCAGGAAGAAGCTCAGTGAGTGACCTGCAACTGTAGTTCATGGCAGGAATTTTAGGTAACAGATAAATCACATTATAACGTGGAGAGACCTATAAATAACACTCCAATGTAAGTTGCTAATTCTTTGCAAAATTGAAGTTGGCCAGACAAAAAAACCCCCTAGTATACCATATGAGCAATCACTTTTCTGTAAAAGCCTGCGCTGAGCATGCCTTGTCTTGCTTTCATTAAAAGGTATCAGAAGGAATACTGTGAATTCAAGAGGCAGCAGCTGGAGCTGGACGATGAGCTGAAAAGCGTGGAAAACCAAATGCGCTATGCCCAGATGCAGTTGGATAAATTAAAGAAAACCAACGTGTTCAACGCAACCTTTCACATCTGGTAACGTAGACCCTGGAACGCTGGCGTCGCTTCGCTGAGTCTGCAGCGCGGGGTGGTTTAACAACTACACGGGACGGGAGAGCTGCTGGCCAAGTCACAGTTGCCCAGAACAAAGCCACTGGCCACAGCTCCCAGCAGTGTCGGCGGAGGGAGGCTTGTGGCACTGTGCAGGTGCCAGGGCAGATCTGAAACAGCTCCTTCGCTGCCCCCGCTAACGAGCGGGGATGCTCTGTGTTAGGCTTTACAGAGCAGGCAGCTCAGGGGTGGGGGGTTTGGTTGGAGTTTTTTTTATGAACTCTGCCGTAACAAGCAGACGAGTGGTTGGTATTTTGACACAGAGCCCCCTGGCTCTCCTGTTGCTCGGTGAGCAGCGCGCGTTCCCTAGCTGTCAGCGCGTGGCCCTTGTTTGGTTTGCGCACTGGAAGCTGTTCCTGCCCCAGTACGCTTATTTATAATTCCTCTTATCGCAGGCACAGCGGCCAGTTTGGCACAATAAATAACTTCAGACTTGGCCGCCTCCCCAGTGTTCCTGTGGAATGGAACGAGATCAACGCAGCCTGGGGGCAGACGGTGCTGCTGCTGCACGCCCTGGCCAACAAGATGGGGCTGAAGTTCCAAAGGTGTGTGCACTGTAACACACAGTTCACTTGTCGCCTGGATAAGGACCGGTAGACTCATCTGCCTGTGAATCGTATCTTTCAGATACCGTCTGGTACCATATGGCAACCACTCATACCTGGAGTCCCTGATGGACAAATCCAAGGTAAGCGCTCCTGTGCAGATCGGGGAAATTCACCTTGAGCGCCCCAGGGCCCTGGTCGCACTGGGGACACAAACTGAGCTCTTTATGAATTCATGGTGCTGGAGAGCCAGCTGCCCTGCTTTCTCCAGCGTGTCCGTATCCTGTAGTTCTGCCATCTGGTAGCATTAAAAGCGACCGGACTCCAGCTACACCCTGCAGCTGGCCAGAGGAAGGCAGTGGGACTGGGGATGGCTGCTGGTGATGAGGAAGCCCGGCCTTCAGGCAGAAACACTTACTGCAAAACGAGTGACATATAGAATGTGCCACAAACCATTTCTAAATTTAAGCCTGGCGCGAGACGAAAGAGCTGCAGTGATCGTATCTAAAACAGAGCGCTTGGGGTGCCTGACACCAGCCTCTCTTCCAGGAGCTCCCCCTGTACTGCTCCGGGGGCCTGAGGTTCTTCTGGGACAATAAGTTCGATCACGCCATGGTGGCTTTCCTGGACTGCGTGCAGCAGTTTAAAGAGGAGGTGGAAAAAGGCGAAACTCGGTTTTGTTTGCCTTACAGGTGAGTGCTGCTGTGTGACGTACCAATTTAGCGCCTCGTGCGCTGTCCCGCGCAGCGCTGCTGCCCGGCCCCTGGAGCAGTCCGCAGCCCTGCTCCACAGCATCGGCTGCTGCTCTGTAACGTGCGGGATCGCACGTTTGCTCTCGCTTTAATTGAAATTTAAAGCGAGTTCCTCAGGGGAAGACCTGAGGCTTGCTCCATTTCCTTTATAAACAAAGGATCCTTACACAGAATAATATGAATGTCAGATTTAAATTTGAGTACTTCTGTTGAGGTTAAACACTTGCAATAGTGAAGCACTAATCAAACTTTGTGTGCGATACAGGATGGACGTGGAGAAAGGAAAGATTGAAGACACAGGTGGCAGTGGGGGCTCTTACTCTATTAAAACACAATTTAACTCTGAGGAGCAATGGACGAAAGCACTAAAATTCATGTTAACTAACCTGAAGTGGGGTCTTGCCTGGGTCTCATCCCAATTCTACAACAAGTAACCGCGTAAAGAACTCATCCTGGCAGCTGCAGCGTCTGTGTTTCATTGGAGAAAGTCAAATTAAGATGTCTCTGAATATTAACCAGTACAAAATGTTTACAATACCAAAAATCCACAAGACACTTTATTTGAAATACCATTAATGCAAGTAGGATATAGAAAAGCAATATGTAAAGTTATGTCATTGACCTGAACACAATAAAAGAAAATCAGCTCTTAAAGAGATGCTAAACTGATACTTTGGGGGTTTAGAGATGTGCACGTGAATTCCTGTCAAACTTCACCACCCCAGTGAGTTTGGTACTGCTGTCGCAGCTCCACACAGGTTATAACAGCGAAACATTACAAACACGGGGAATAACCTGACACAACTCGCAGAAGCTCTGCTTATAACTCAGAAGATGAACCTCTTACAATAAATCTTTTTGTGCTGAAAGAGGTATTTCTAAATGCTCCTTTGCTCCCATGTCCCTCCCTTCACAGCACAGCAGTCTTGCCTGAACAGACGAACTTTTCTAACTAATGTGTAACACATGAAATGTTACAGAATGTGGGGTGTTCAAAACCAGAACTAAACGCAGATTGGGTGGGGGCCCTGTGCAGTGTCATAGGAGATGGACCGGTATCAGCAGTGTAACCATTTGCTGCTGGCACACCAGCCACTGCCCGTGGCTCTATCTGAGGGGCAGAATCCGGTTCTCCAGAGCGTCTGTTCCACCGTTCCGGTAGCGCTCCTTGGGAGTGGTGCTGCCCACAACGTGTTTCAGCACTGCGTAAGAAAATTCTAAGATACTTTGTGAAGTGATGCCAGTGATAGAGTTCAAATGCTCCACAACCTTTAAAAAAAGAAGAAGATGCTCACTTACAGTGCCTAGGAGACTAGGAGACAGCAGGTTACAGGCAGACTTCTTCACTCTCCAAACCTAATGAGAACAATAGTGTGCCCTGGGCCTATGCTGGTGGGTTTGGACAGATGTGAAGCCTCTCTGAGTGTTTTTTTTGCTTGCTTGCGGGGGTTTTTTTTGTGTGTGTGGCTTTTTTTTTTTTAATTTAATTGCTTCTACTAAAGAAGTAAAATTAAAAAGCCACTGTAACAGGCTGTTTGTTACAGTATTTGGTAGTAGTTTGGGCAGAAGGTTGTCCCCCGAGATTGCTTCTCCACCTCACAGTGAAACGATGCCTGTGTGGGTTTGTTCTGGCTGTGAAGAACCTGAAGCCTGAGGATAAGCTCACAGGAGCACAAGCACCAGCCCTCCTGCGGAACTACCTGCGTGCCCTCATGGCGCTCCTGCGTACACACACTTCCTGATCAAAAACCTGAGCGCGGTCACCTCCCTCCCGCTGCTCCCAGCAGAGCGTCCCCCTCTGCCTGCTCTGCGTAAATGTATCACCAACCCTCACGTCCTTTCATGTAGAGCTCACCTGCCTCCACTGCCCCGGGTTCAGTATGAACACGCTTGTGCTGATGATTCCAACAGCCAAGAGCATGAAATCCTCCTTCACTGTCAGAAACTTTGCTCTGCAGAAGTAAAAGTGCCTTCTGGTGTAAAGTGATGTGGGTTTTACTGTTCAAAAGCACCTACTCCTGTCCTCACTATACAGCCTACAGACACGTCAAGCTTATTCAGTCCTGTAGTCCAAACAAAGCCCAATGATACTGTAATGGACAGCACTAAAGCTGGATCATTACAATTATGTTCAATGCTTTACCAGCTTGCCCCTACAGCAAATGTGGTGAAGCACGCTATATATACCATTGACCTGGTATATTAAGATCAATAATCAATGCTGAAAGTCTCACACATTAAAATTTTCTAAAACACACCCAAAAATAGCATAATGAGAATTATTCTACTACTCCTTAGGGCTTTGTTAGGTTTTTAGTTTCAATTAGTTATTTTAAGCAATATTCACGTGAGCTACTTACACCTGCAGTTCGCTTGGTGTGGAGTTTTCGATGGCAATCTTCAGCAAAGTGTCGTAGATGGTATCTCGCGTAAGGTAGGAGAAGTCCAGGAGCTGCATGCACATCTGATGGAGCGGTTCCGCAGGAAGCAAGCAGCCGTTATGTCCTAGCACAGAGATCACACATCACTGGCCACACGTTTTGTGTCATTCAACTGAGTTAGAAGTGTCAGTTACTGTAAGCACGGGATGATTTCTGGTGACAAGGGCCCTTTTTTTTCCTCCTGATGTCCCAGGCTTTCTCAATCTCAGCATAATTTCACTCATTCTGAAACACAGGTTGTCAGACCTGGGCAAAGACAATGGTAACTCCCTGTAGAAAATGTGGCCTTGCACCAGGTTTGGGGGCTTTAAACTCTTTTACTGAATGAGTCATGACTGGCTGTCCAACAACATTCATCAGACTCTACTGTGGACAAAGTTCTCATCTGAGAAGTAAAGCCCTGGACAATCTGAAAAGTTTCATGTGCCTTCAAGGTGTGCAACAATCTGTAATATCAGACATTCCTGTTCAGATCAGTAAAAGCTCTGTTACGCTCTTAAAAAAAAAATCCTTTCCCATTCTCTCCTATTAATACTCTTACCTAAAACCTCCAGAAGCAATTCCACGTAAGCCAAAGGAGTTGACACGTTGATCTGGAAGTGCAGAGTTTTTAAAACAGCAAGCTCTGACTCAAGCAATTCCTGTTTAGTGTACGAGTATTTTAAGGACTGAAGAAACTTTAGAGCTGTGTCACTGTTAACTATCTGAAGGGGGGAAAAAAGACAAATTAGCAAGTGCCTTATTGCCAAGAAGATAAGAACAAAGCGCTTTCTTGTTTTATGCCTTCCCCTGAATTTAAGCCTGAGCTGCTACAGCGGCGACGCTGCCCGCTGACCCAGCTGTCTCACTTGTCTTTTGAGCTGGCTGGAAAAACCCAGCTCAGCCCTTCCTTCCTGCAGGTTTCTTCTGCTCCACAGACCTTCCCCAGACCCGCGTGAACCCTCTGTAGCCACACAATTTTTGACAACCACAGGCTGATTTTTTCCACTCCCCGTATGTTTGTCTCTACTACTGGGAACATTTCCTGGCGAATTGTTACTTGATGAGTGACAATCTGCCCTCAGTCTCCATTCCTATATCATTTGCACTTCATTATCACTACTGTCTTTCAGAGAGAAAAATCTATTTTTTAAGAGAGATTAATGTACTAAGTTTACGACACCTCTAAAAAACGTTACAGGAAAAGGTTTAGCTGGCTTACGTTATAGTGTAAGGAAAGTTTGCTTGCAAGCTGAATGCACGACACAAGTCGCAGGACAAACGTGTCGTATATCTGATCTTTCAGGTAGCTCCGGCTGCTGCCTTGTCCTTGTTCACGACTTTTAATGTTCTCTTTGGAGGCCTTACAGATTTGTTCTATTTGCTTGATCATAAACCTAGAAAAGCCACAACTGCTCAGAAAACAGTTCTCTTCTGCTAGGAAAGAGGAAGAAAAGCAATTCTGCATGCACTCAGAATACATGGATAGCTGTTAATTTTAATTAAATGCGTACAAAGACAAAGCTCTAGAGATGCAAAAAGCCATTACACGTTGTTTGAATGAACGGTATAGAGCATCCACAGTGTAACCGTGTGACAGAGCACACAGGGTATTTATTACCTTTCGAGTAACTCTACCGCTCGGTACCTTGCAGATTGATCCAAGTGCCATTTTTCAGACAAAAGGAATATAAATTCTGCAAAAAAGCGCAACAGTCATTCACTTCAGTACACTGAAGCTAATTATACCACAGTTAACCATCTTGGGAGCTGGCTGTAGTTGAGGAAACGACTCTCACCCACTATCTGTGTCTCCTTGAAGCACCCAGCCTGACCTGACAGCTCACTCAGGTACTGCTCGTTTTCCGTCACCAAATGGATCAGCGTGTCCTCGATCATCTCGGGAGTGACCTCGCCAAAGACGGGGCCTGCGTCGCGGTACTGCAACGCCCTTCGCACCGGGGACCCCATTCTGCAGGCCAGGGCAGAGACCTTACGGGCAGGAATTCCCTCACCACCGCCGGGGGGACAGGGCCCGAGAGGCCTGGCCAGGGATGCACTGGGGCTGCGGTCCGAGAGGCACCACAGGGAACCCGCAGCCTCTTGGTGATGAGGCTGCTTTTGTGAGGGGCCGCAGAGGCCCTGT